AACACATGCAGTTAGTTAATGTGCAGATTTACAGGAGCCAAACGATGATTTCATTCAGGGTAGGGAACATCCGTTTGGCTGTATGTGGTTTAAAAACTCCAGGACTGTCATAAACTCAAACTCATTTTGATATTTTTTTGGGAGCATATTAAAAATGTCAAGGTGATACAACTGTTGTGATACCATAATGAAAAGAAAAAAAAAAACGAATTAAAAGAGGAAAATTCCTAATAATGTGGTGTGACCCCTGCAGATTCTCATGACTGTGTGTCAAGGTCAGTTCAAGTTGTAAATGTCAAGTGGTGCAACCCTCCAAAAACCACTAATGATATTTATGAGTTTAATTAAAAAAATGTACATTTCTATTAAAAATGTTCTTTCTACTTACGTAAACATTTATGTTTAATTCAATGTGTTATTTTTAGTTATTTGTGAAATTGACTATTTCCGAGTGAAGATTGTTTCTACATCAATTTTTATTAGTTTTCATTATAGTATAAAAGTGATAAAATGATAAAACTTCTATAAAAGTATAATTAAGTATAAAAGCCAGCTATCATGTGCAATGCTTTGTGGGAGTGGATGATTCGTGTTTCTGTAGTAAATGCACCTTGTCTGATTGGTCCATTTCTCTTTAGGATTATGAGTATTGTAGTTCTTCTCTAATTTGGCAAGAAGACCATTTTTACATCTTGGAAGATTTATACTGTATATTACTGCTACAAATAAATTGTTAATAAATCTTTCTGTGAAGAACCTGAATGAAGCATTTCAGAGAGTTACAGTAAAACACTTGTATAGTAGGAATCATATCTTATCATTCTATTCAGTCTGTGACTCCACTAAATGCTTTAGCAGGAATCTGTGAAATAATTAAATTCAATGGAGACGACCTCACTCAACCCTGAGATGGCGAAATAGGTACTTTTCATACCGATTTTGGTCCTAGATGTAATTTAGTGAACTAATCAGACTCCACATACCACTGTCCCTTTATTTAGGTGAAAGCCATCTGGTGGATAAATCTATGGGCTTTTCTCTGTATAGGAAAATCCCTGTTACAGAAACAAGACTAAGCAAAACACTCCCTCAGAGCATGATGAAACACAATATTAAGATTAGGAGAATTATGTGCCAATTTTTCCACTTTTTTTTTTTTTGTTTCCACCCATTTATGCCCAGTGCTGCCCATGCGTCCACTCCCTCAGAGCATGATGAAACACAATATTAAGATTAGGAGAATTATGTGCCAATTTTTCCACTTTTGTTTTTTTTGTTTCCACCCATTTATGCCCAGTGCTGCCCATGCGTCTGGCCTTTATTGCTGGGCAATGTGATGATAAACTATGTAAACCCACCTGACAACAGCCAAACTGTTCCAATTTGAGAAATATAAAGTTCAGCAGACATTAGCCATCTGGTGGATGAGTTCTACTTTTTCCACAAAACTAGGAGCATTCTTGGATTAAAGTTAAGCAAAAGTTCATTTAAAAGTTAATTGAAGGCAGCACTGTATTTTATACAGTTAAAAGCACTTAGTTTTAACTCTAGTCAAGTGAGTAGTACTTTTAAAAGATATGTTTAAATCATGCTCTATCTAACCAGACTGTGTTGGCACATTGGCTGTTTTTATTTTTTACTTCACAGAGGCTGTTTTTTGAGTTTGTTTTCCAGTCATAGAGTTGAGTGAGTTTGAAGCGTTTGGGAATGGACTGGAAGTGTATCCAAGTAACCAAATTGCTCCCTTGTGTAGGGCAGGAGCCACTGTCCAGTCAAGTTCAAAGTTAGCAGTAGGATATTACCAAATTTGCAAGATGAAGAAAATAAATAGGAACGCTCTAAACAGTATTACATAATCAGTAGAAAGAGACAACAGTTTGCATTCTACAAATGAAGTTTCGACAGTAAAAAAATGTTTAAAGGAATTTACAACAGTGTTTTGATTAGCACAGTGGGTGATAGACCTCAGCCTTAGGGTGATATTTACCACTTTAACATGATGGATGCAATGCGACATTACCTGTTCTCAGGGTGTAGGCAGAAAACTGTATTGGCTGCTTTACTCCATTTATGTTTCACTATGATGTCAGGGTGAAACTTCACAGCAACTGACTCTCATTCAGAGGCCATGTGTGTACAATTATTACACTTCCTCTGGTTATATACAGTGGCCCCAAAAAGTATCTGGACACACTTAAAATGTATGAATTTAATTGCATTTGATAACAAAATTGGCAAAGTGGTAGAATATTAAGTGGCATCTGCAAATTATGTTAAACCTTTTTTTCAGTACTAAATTCACTTTTCTGAAAATTAGTTAAATGGTCATATTTTTAGTAGATGTATGTTTCAGAGAATGTTACCAGAACAAACTTCATTATTATATTTAATTCCTTTTTATCCGCATTTGTCACTGCCTGACATTTGAATATATATTTCAAAACAATATTTTAACACGCCTACAATATTTCAACTAGATGACAGCATTCAGTTATATTGTATAAAAGGCGTTTACGTGAATTGTGTTGCACTTTGATGGGTAAGTCATTAGCTTTAAAAGGTGATTCTTTTCTGGCATTGAATGATGAAGGTGGTGTAAGACAAACATGCCACGGGCTCAGTGAGAAGATTTAAAAGAGTACGAGTTTGACAGTCACAGCTGTAAACACGTTGAATACGAATGTAGAGTTATCACGGCATAGTAAATCTTCTATTCTACGTCTTTGATTTGTTTGCGGAGGTTATCCGCTCGTCTGTTTGCGTTGGGCTCGCACAGTCACACTCTTTTTGTCTCCGAAAATGCTTAGAAGAGAAAATGTGCTCTAAATTGTATTTACAAAGAGAGTGTCATGTTAAAACATGAAAATACACTCCTTAGATTTGCTGTCGGGCGGCATCATGAAAGACCGGGACCCAGGGTGCCTATCACACATTGGTCAGGCTGAATTGTGGGTGTTTGAAGCAGACAGCCCACCCTGTCCCATTGCTAACACATCACAGGACACATTTCCAGCTGTTTTGAGCTAGCTCTATTGTAAGCATCTGACGAAAAATCCAGTAAAGCTCTTCTTCCCGTCAGATGGGAAATGTTTAGATCTATGGTATGAGAGTGAGGTCATAGTTTGGGGACACTTTAGGAAAACTGGCTTCTCTGAAGATGTTTTAATACACCATATGCTACAATTCATACAGGTAATACCTGCCAATACTGTAACACTACAACATATGTATTGCTGCAGTGATATACACAGTGTGTATATATATATCAGGGGTGTCCAGGCCTGCTCCTGGAGGACCAACCAGCTCCTAACTCTCTTGGCCTAGATTAGCCTAGAAGACCTAGATTAGATGGTTCAGGTGTGTTTAAATAGGGTTGGAGCTAAACTCTGCAGGACAATGGCCCTTCCAGGAGCAAGTTTGGACACCTGTGATATATATTTTAAAACCACTGGAACGCCATCTTGACCAATCACCATTCAGGTGTCAATAGAAATCCTCTCGATCTGGAATTTTGTGTGAGGTTGAACGATTTAACAACAGGTTCACACAACTTTGTCACAAATTCACCACACTAGCTATGCTTCCATCCACCCATTTTTATGCGCATTTTGGGATATTGCATTAAAACAAATGTGAAAGTGCGCATAAATTCTAAAAATGTGCTCAACTGTGTCGGATACATTTTTTATCCAATGAGAGAACACTCCATAAAACCATGAAGTATGATGGAAACGCATTTACAGAATAACTTCCTCAATGTGCATCAAAAAAGTCATGCGAGTTTGTGCGATGGGACAGCGTAACTGGACCAATCAGCGGACCAAACTCGCTGCACAGAATCTGAAATGTTGTTTTGGTCATTCGGAAATGCCTGAGCCAAAGTCTGTCGTCAGAGTGGTTCAGTACTATGATTACCTCCCAGAACTGAACACGACTGCACTCCCAAACAGCAGGAATCAAAATAAAACATTGCCACGTTTATTGCGATTCAGTTGCATGCTCTGAGGTGCAAGTAATTTATTATATACAATAAAAGCCCCACAGTGGCTTCTCCTACTGCAAATGACATTTTTCTTAATGATACTTGGCGCCAGTTTATCAGGAAGTGACAATTTTGTTCTCTTTGTCTTGCTGGATGGAAACGGTGCATCATTTGCATATGTACATGCGATAAAAAAAAAAAGTTAAATTCGCAACTTTGAATGGAAACAGTTATTAACAGAAAGGGGCTACATACATTGCTACACCATTGACAATAGACCTGCAAAATTCTGCTAGTTTGACTGCACCTTAAATACAAAAAACAAACTTAGACTTATTTTAAATATTTTCAAAGGAAAAACTGATACATAAAATGAAGGAAGCTCTATTAACAAAGTCATTTTTGAAAGTAAATTTCAAGTGTGCTACCATTTGCAAGCTGTTTGATCTCTAGCACCAATAGTCGTCACATTTTATTCTGTTTTTGTACTGAGTGGTAAAAGTATGATTAAAAAAGGAAATCTTTACAATGAATATCTTGTTCTATTGATTTTGCTAAGAGCTCAAAGCACAGACAAATCTAAGCAGACCTAATTTGACTGAATGTAACCTTAACTGGAGATCAAGAGATGTTTTCTCCAATGCTTTGAGAACTCGCATCACAGGAGTATATTCCCAAGACAACCTTTAATTGTAAAATGGAGAAAAACCAATTACTACACAAAAGCGTTTTGTGATCAAAGCACACTAATAGACTCTGTCAGAAACATTATTCCAGTGAATGTTCAGGGCTGTTGCTGTGGATAAGTGCATAACATGAAGATCATGACAATCAAATTATTACTGGAAAATAGTAACAATGGCAGTGCATCCAAGGCCATCTGTATCAATTTACCTTAACTCCCTTATTGTTCCCATCTTGTTATGGCATGTTTCAGTACAGGAGTCGCATTCAGCTGCACTTAAATAAAAATCCAAGACAAGGGAAAAGCTTTATGTAAACTTTACTATGGGATTAAACATACATAAGCAGCAGAACATGACGTACAGACTCTGCATAAGAAAGTTCTCCAAAGAACAAAGGCCTGATACAGCAAAAAAAAATATTAGAACAACAATAACAGTCAGAGTACAAATGCACATTCAGAAAGAATATAGTCAAATTCACTACAAACTAAAGAACTAATGGGAAACATAATACTTCAGTTTCAACACTTTGAGAAACTGGGGTTCGTTTAAAATATTCAGATCACAAACAATACAAAAGCTTATTCATATCTTTTCTTTAATCCGTTTCCATGCGTCATGTAACGGTACTAGATTGGCATCAGAAATATTAGCTGCAGCTACTTGGTCACCAAGCACAAATCACATACACCCCTGTTCCCATCGGTCCCTGTGGACTTCAACTAGCTACCCCATAAATCAAGGGGTATCCAGACCTGCTCCTGGAGGGCCTGCAGATTTGAGCTCCATCCTGTTCCAACACACCAGCCTGGAAGTTTCTAGTAATCTGGAAGACCTTGATTAGCTGGTTCAGGTGTACTTAATTAGAACTGGAGCTAAACTCTGCAGGACAGTGGCCCTCTGGGAGCAGGATCTGTCCTCCCCTTAAAAATAAGAGCTTGGCCATTTTACTTCACTGTCTGCATACATCCTGCAGACCTTCTCTTAAAATGTTTAAACTAAGAATGTTGCCATATGGCCAAAAAGTAAATCTGGGTTTGGGAATATTTGTCAGATTTATGATGATGTGCTCCCGAACGCACCTGCATGGAGCCTCTAAGTCGAGATTCATCTCTCTGTCAGCAGGCATTTCAAACAGCACGGCTCCTAAAACAAAACTCTCTCAGTGAACTTGTGTCGTTTTATCTGCTACTAGAACACGCATTACACAAACATCTTACTGTACATGCAGTATTGTGGAAGTAGGGATCTTAGTTTTTCCTTTGTAGAGGAGTTGCAATACAGCGTTTTAATGATAATACAAACAAAGATACTGTATACAATTAAATAAATTACCCTTAAATGAATCATAGGACAAATCAGAAATGATGAACCAGTTCAAACTTTCCTCTTATCGGGGATAGTTGGAATTGGGGTAGACCAAAAAGAAGAGGCCAAGGGACTGTCAGTGGTGCAGCTGGAGCTCAAGGCAAGATTGTAGTATGTGGCGTCACTTTTCTGCAGAAAGGTCCAAGCTGGCACAGGTTATCCATGATAAGGCAAAAAGTGGGGTATATGTGAAAGTGCGTGAGGTACTGGTAGTGGCTGTTATTATAGTGAAGTTGGGCTTCCCAAGGATTAAAAATCAAGGCTGGGCCTCCGTGTTGGGCTCCTTGTCATAGATGTAGCTGCCAACGCCACCAGTGTTTACACCTAGAAATCCAGGAGAGTGGATCAGACTGGGTTAATAACTAATTTAACTGAAACTGATTTAACTTGGACATATCAGGTTTTAAGTATTCATTATGATATAAAGAAAGCAGAAGAATATATAAAAGAAAAGTTCAGTGGCTTCACTGCAAACGAAGAACTGCTCATTTGAAACGATGTCAGATTATTTTCTGAAAATTAAGCAATGGCTCCATCTAGAGTTGAAAACTCTCACAGTACCTTTTGGGCCGAAGAGGACAGCATAACATGGTTTATGGCAGTAGGGCTGACCATCGTGCTGCAACACACAAAAACACCTTTTAGGATAAATTCATGCATTTAGAAATAGAAATGTTTGAAAACTGAATACATTTGAATATTTTTCCAATACCTTTTCATGTTTTAAGACCTGCACATCAACTACAAAATATTGCATTCATACATATACAGTGTGCCAAGTTGTTACCAAGTTGTTAGTTGCCAACATGTTATTTCTTTGGCTTCTACAGTGGTAATGTTCTTTTTATGCAAATGAATTATCACATTAAGTCATACTGAGATTTCAGTTTTATTTTGATTAACTGTACTTACTCCCAAAGGAAATGTTCAGATAAACCTATGAATCATAATTTAAGACTTAATTTGCAGTAAATTGATTTATTACCTATTAAAAATTTTTAATGACCCATAGATGCCCTGCAGTTTATTCAAGATTTCTAATGTAAAAAAGTATTCTTGATTAACTTCTTTTACATGGACCGAATTAATGAAAGAATCATGGTAGCCATCTTTGTGCTCCTATTAGCAACTTCATTTTCCTCTCACCTCTGCGTGGCTGCCAGCTGCCAGGGTCTTACTACATCTCTCACAACGCAGGCATGGACGATGCCAGTCCTTCCCTAGTGACGTCACCTTCTCAGCTGCCATAAGTAACAGGACATGTCATTATGCTACCACCATTTCCTATCATTAAAACCCAAGCCACAGTATCTAATCACTACACCACGTGAAATGTTGTTAGGACAGAGAGAAGCATACCAAAATAGACCTTCTTGTTGCATCTGGGACACAAGTTGGCTTCCCCAGAGAAGGTAGTGATGTTTCCAGCTGAAATGAGAGATGCATGCACTTCATGATCCAAATAAACTCTGTGCAATTTGTCATATGTCTTATTGCAAAACATTTAAAATACAATGATTTGTAGCTAAAGGAAGATGCACACAACCTACAACCTTTATATTGTGGCATTAATTGCACACTCAGCCTGTTCAGATCAGAACAAGTCAGTTGATCTCTGCTGCTGTTTGTACCTTTAGATGGTGGCCTTGAAGATGGCGGGACCCATTTCTCTTGAGGTTTGGGTGCAGAGTCCACGGTGGATGCAGGTGGGGAAGGGTTGGTGGGAGCCTCATACACATATGAGCCTGCACCCCCAATGTTCACACCTACATAATAAACAAGGTTTCATGAAAATATCTCTCCATCATACAACATTCGTATTAAGAAATGTTTGATATGACTAATTACATTTGTTCCTTCATTAAAATTAGTTAATGCATTCGGTATCATGAACTAGCAATACTTTTACCACATTTATCTATCAAATTTCATGTTAATCTCTGCAGATACCAATACATTTTAACCGTGTACATACAGCGATTTCTTTCTTAAAACAAGAATGTTCCTAATGCCCAGCAGAGGGCACTATTTAATTTCATGACAACAATGATTTAACTATTTACTCTTGCTATATGTACAAGAGTGCAAAATCTCTTAAATCATATCAATCATTCCATAACCCAGTATGTTGTATATATGGTAAATGGGCAGAGATTAGAAGAGTTCCATGTCACATGACTTCAATCTGAAATGCTGAAATGCTCAATCTGAAAAGTGTTTCATCTCATCTCACCTTTTGGCCCAAAGAGGGCAGCATAGCATGGCTTGTGGCAGTATGGTTTCCCATCATGCTGTGAGGATGTAAAACAGAAGAAAAAACAGGGTCATTCTAGGCTTATTTTTCATCAAGACTCTACAAGTGAATGAGTGTGCATTTGCTGGTGTAAATTTGCAATTTAATCTGCTGCTTGTAGACCATCTTAAATGTCTAAATGCCACAGACGGTGGTTATCTTGGCGTCCACTCCCTGATAACACTCACAGCAGTTACCAGGACACAGTCTATGTTGATGGAAAAGGACACCCAAAGTGTGCCTTGAGTGTGTCTGCATGGAGGACGGAACATATTTCAATGGCAGTTGCTCCCAGAGCCCTTTGGTCAGGGCCATGGCGGGAAAAGGTTGCCATGGGAACCGTCAGACGGCAGCTGTGTGACCGTTACAGCTGCGCGGGAGAGGATAAAGGAACGGAAGGGGCAGAGAACAGTGGCCTCGTGCCAGTACAAAAGTATGCATGGGGGGCAAAATACATTACCAAGAGTCAAGTCAGACATTCAACAGTCATAATTACGGTAACACACAGGGAAACTGTGTAACGGACGCCTCGCAGATACAAACTGGGTAAATAATGTTTTATGTTTTGATTAAAAGATAGTTAACATTAAACGTCAACGAAACCCTAAGAATTCACAACATTTTTTACAATAGTGCTCTCATTATAACGTTATGTATATGACAATAGTTATTAATGTTCTGCATTTCTGTTTTGAGCTGCACGTGCTGAAGATGCCCAGTAGAATGAAGCATTTGATAGCAGGTTTTTAATCAATGGGATTTAACTCATCATTTATCTAATATAGAATACTCTTCGTTATTTATACAACATAATGTTACTATTACAACTTATAGGCTATCTGCACAAAATGCCCCGAATGCACGAACGTGTCTGTGCGGCTCTGAAAGAACTCCTTTTGTGGATGCGTTCTTCACGCAACAACGTGCAGAAACATGGCAACTAAACTCTAGAATACGCTTCGTTATTTATACAACATAGCGTTAATATTACGGCTTATAGGCTATCTGCACAAAATGCCCCGAATGCACATGAACATGTCTACACGGCTCTGAATAAACTCCTTTTGTGGACGCCTTCTTCATGCAACAACGTGCAGAAACACGGCAACTAAACTCTAAAAATTCACAGTGTTTTATTATAATAGTGTTCTCATTATAATTGTTATGCATATGACAGTCCCAGTCATAGTTATTAATATATTCTGCATTGTTGTTTGTCCTGTTCGCACAGCGCGCTGAAGAGATAATCACCGCAGTACTTCCATGAAGCGCTTTACTGCAGCGCAACTCAACCAAATGCATCTTATATGAGATAAATAATATATACACGGTATATATAACCGGCTGAAATGTTTTGAAATCACTTGTACCCTACCTGATCGAAAAAATCCAGTCTTTCACTCTGCCTGTGTCAGTTTGAGTCTTGTTAAAGTTTTAAATCCCTGCCGCCAAGATGCTCCTCTGTTGGTCACGGATTATGAAAAGTGAATCTTAAATCTATAGGGGTGGTTGGATTTATTCACGCACGTTAAAATATTTATTTGAAGCTTCTTACTTTTCAGATTCTTATTTACATCATTTTAATACGCTGTATATTAACTTATTGGGAGAAAACTAGTAGTTCTATCTATGTGAGTTTAGACATTTGAGCACCTCCATATAGCCAAAATGGCATGTTCATAACACCCCGCGAATATCCGACTTTGTGATTGGTAGTCGAATCAGGCTCCTCCTATCGAAGCATCGAATCTTCGACTATTCGGGGTCACCCCTAGTCAAGATCCTATAGAGGAGTCTGAAATGTGTGGTCAAGGAAATCTACTTGCTATGCTATAAAGCTTCTCAAAGATTAAGGGTGTGTTCACACTTTTCATGTTTGGTTTGATTAAAACGAACTCTGGTGCGATTGCTCTGTTAGTGCGGTTCATTTGAGTAAGTGTGAATACTGCCATCCAAACCCTGGTGCGCACCAAACAAATGGACCGAGACCGCTAAAAAGATGGGTCTTGGTTCACTTCCAAACTAACTCTGGTGTGGTTCAAGTTAAATATGAATGCAACATGGACCAAATACTTCTAAACAAACCGAAAACAGGATGTAATGGTAATGGTAAGACATGAGAGACATGATTTGATGACATGGAATGAGCAGTGCATCCAAAACAAAATGAGCAGAGGGCAAACGTAGAGCAATGAGAAGGTAGTGCAGCGCCACTTTAAGTCGAATACACCTATTGTTTGGAGTGTTCGTAAGCTCCATCACGAAATATGTGTCATTCAACCAGGTTGTGAACGTATCACTATGCCTTAAGTTTCGGTATATTTAGGTTTACTGTCAAAAATGCCAGTGTGAATGCTAAGTGGACCAGGACCAAATGTATTGTTTTCTTTTTTTGGTCCAGACCAAACGAACCAAGAGAACCGAACTACAAGTGTGAATGCATCCTAAATGCCATGAACCTTACAAAGGTACCAAATCAAATGACTGGTTCTTTTGTGGAACTGCTAACTAAAGCAAGTCTTGACAGTTCGGTCACCCAATAGAAACAGAAACCTTTAGTACCTGAAGGTGCTTAAGATTACTCTGTCAGCATTTTAATCACTGGAGGTCATTAAATTGCTATATTGTTAGTTAGTTTGCTGGCAGGCATTCTTACTTGACTGCAATATCCAACTGTATTGGGCAACAGATCACGCAAGCTTAACTATCATTGGCATATGGTTTTCAGTGGTCTCGGAGGTTCATGTCACTTCAGCTCACCCACTTCTGTGTACTTTTTGTGCCAAATCGTTGTCAGTTGCATACCCTTGACTTCTGGAAATTGCCAATCAAAATCAGATCTTGTTTTTTGATAAATCTCTTGACATATTGTGTGATATGCATCAGACAGATGGTGAAAAGTCTGTGGGTGTGATGTCTAAGCCAGATACAAAGCTTAGTCCATCAGCTCCCATTACAGGTCTCACTGGTCATCTCTCACCGGTCATATAGAGCAGCGCACCAGCCCACACTTTTCCCAGAGCCTCTCACATATTCTGGTAACTGAATCCAAACTCTCTCCATTCTGCCTCTACCATTAACATGGCTATTCCCATAAACCCTCTCGCTTTCCCCTGCCAGAATCCAAGGAACACACTAAGGGATTATCATCTTATCCACAGGGTGAGTTCTTGTTCGATCAATGGTCTTGAAGAAAAACTTACACACATGTATTACCCATCTTCACTTTACCCCATCCTCGTTTACCCCAGATTCCTCTGGCTCTAAAACATCACTGCCCTGTTCTTTGCCCTCTACTGCCATTCCGATCTAGACGCAGTCATCACTGTGTGATGTAATAGGATGCTGGAAAGGTCGTGGAGAATTTAATTTGGCTTGCAGTCATGCACACAGGAACATTTGGGATGTACAAAGCTGGCCAGCTAGCTTTCAACAAATCACTGAAGACGAGCATCATGAGATACGATTACACACAGCTATCCAAAAGAGATAAGGAGGGAAAATGCTCGTTGCAACATCCTGTAGAATTTGAGACATTCAGTTTGCTTTTGTATTTTCATGATTGCATCATTTTTACCCCTTAAATTGTGTTTATGTCATGCCAGCTCCCCACACACATAATGCCACGCGACAGGCTTCAGTCCTGGTTCTGGACTCTTCAAATAGACCACTGATCCTCTGATGGAAACGCGGTGTCACAAAGTCAATACTCAGCTGTAGGAGTTTGAGTTTCCCCAGCTAGACTGCAGAGAGGTAGTGTGTGATCTCTGACTTACTCACCTCAGCATGGCCACCCGCGGTGAGGGTCTTACTGCAGCGCTCACACTTCAAACAGAACTTGTGCCAATCCTTCCCTAGTGATGACACTTTCTCAGCTGGGAGATGAGAAAGAGAGAGAGAAAGATTGATTTTTACACTTTTTCATTAAAAAATTTAAGTCTATACATGAAAAATCCTGCTGCCCCAATACTAAGGTATTGTCAGTGGTTGCCAAGTCCTTGAGATTGGTAGAGCATTGATGGGTGCTCACTAGGGTATTGAGGCATTGCTATTGGATATTTCACCTCACAATTTGAGGTTTAATTAATGTCCTTAGCACAAATGGTTAAAACTTAGGGTTAAATGCTTGTTCAAATCTCTAACTGAGTAACAATAACAACAATACTTGCCTTGGTGAAAAAAAAAAGGAAAATACTATACATGAAATCCATATGTGGTCATAATTTGTGTGCAACCTCATATAGGTGTTATATTAAAATGGAATAGAGTATTTAGCATGATTTGCTTTGGTCTTTATGATAGACTATGGTTGCATCTGAACATGCATACTTCCCTACTGTATAGTAGGCAAAAACAGTATGTGAAAAGAGCAGCATTCCCTAATTCACAGTATTCATAAAACAGCAGGCAAAAAGTACCTAAATGACCTACTACTTCCAATGAGATTTTGAAGTTAGCATCCAATGGACAATTTACTACCTCATGAGGGCAAAGAAGAGAATTGGCAGTGAAAAAAGTTGCTGGTAGGTCACAAAACAATGACAGCATATGACAAATATCTGCATTCATACTACACACATTCATACAATACACAGTAGGACTCATTGTTTCAATGGTCTACTCAGAGAGTATGCGATTTCAGACACATTCAATGTCATATTGTGATAATAATGTGTTGCTGCCCATAGTGGACCTGCCCATAACCACACCCCAGAATCTCTTATCCTCTAAACGTGGGCAGGAGCTTTTTTTTTTTTTTACTATAGTGTATAAGAATTTAGATGTTACTTTTATGCTGTGAGTTTCCCTTCCACTCATATCTTGATGACTGCAGCCCCTGATAAGTTATGAATGTGCCATGGAAACTTCCTGTCTGAGAATCCAAGATCCTAAAAGAACTAAAGTATGTAGTGCATTTCCTCAGGAGGTTAAAGCAAAGAGCCTCTCCCTGTCGTGAAGGCAACAGTGAGTGGGAGTCTCCACACAGCATTATTAATGGTGGATTTGCATAATTTTCAGATCCAGCAAGCTTCATGTTTTGAGGATGTGTGCTGGTCTGGGCATTTTCATTCTGATAATCAATGTGACATAATATTACATAAAATCAATGAAAAGCACTGGCCTCATTGTGAGGGGTCACAGCGGTTCATTCCATAGCTGAGATGTGTTGACATAAAACACAAGGAAATGCAGTGGCGGGGCTAATTAAAACCGGACAGCTAAGTGACGACATAAACAGTACAGAGACCCACTGCTCCATTTCCCCTCCTGTCCCGTTTCTTCAGGAGGGTCCTGGGAGACTTCCCCAGACCTAATATTACTCTTTCCATTTATATATCTCGCTCTCAAGACAATACATAAGGCAGGACTGCTGGGACAGCTCTCTCACTTCAGAGGAAACACCTTCGCTTATCAAAACAGGGCACAATCAGCTAGAGAGAACAATCCGTTTCCTCCTGCTCTCCCCTACTTCCTAGCTTTCCCGCCTGGAGAAAGTACAGTATTGTTTTTGTTCTGTCAGTTTTGCAGCCCTCTTAGTCTGTCTCTCGGGGGGTCTAGGTCAGTACAGAAGAGATCAGTTTCATCATCAGAGAAGGAGATTTTATACTGCTAAAGACTCCTATTCCACTGAGATACACAAGTATACTCGCACACGGAGGCATAGCAACAATTTAAAATGTGTGGGCATGAATGTTTAAAAAGTATGATAATCTCTGGGACAAATGTTGAAACAGTTGGTATCTTTACATTTTCTAAAGAAAATGAGAGTTAAACTTGCCTGTGCAATACTTGCCGCCACACTGCAAGGGTGCTGTTAGTGGTTGCCAGGCATTGCAGGGCGGTGTAGTTTTAAGTGCATTGCAAAGTGGTTACTGGGGTTTTCTAAATGGTTGTTTACTGGCACAAGTCAAAAGAGTCCACTCTGAGGTTCTGGTCTCTGTAAATTTTAGGTCCCTCCTTGAATCTGAGGGATTTTTTCACAACTTATTTAACATCAGATAAACATCTTTAATTTGCCTAGAAAAGTTCACAACTCTCTTTAAACAGATACGTTTTTTTTTTAAGTTATTGCCTTTTATTCGGCAAAGGTCCGCGAGCCAGAACACGAAATCGAACCCAGCCCAGATGCATGATTTGAGGAATCATTTATGCATAGCACATTGATAATACCAGCATCACAGTTTCATACGGAAGTACAACAATTAAACGATAAGGGGACATAATACAATCTCATGTTAAAGGGGTCATATGATGTTGCTAAAAAGAACATTATTTTGTGTATTTGGTGTAATGAAATGTGTTTATGCGGTTTAAGGTAAAAAAAAAAAACACATTATTTTCCACATACTGTGCATTATTGTTTCTCCTCTATGCCCCGCCTTTCTGAAACGCGTCGATTTTTACAAAGCTCATCAGTCTGAAAAGCGAGGTGTGCTCTGATTGGCCAGCTATCCAGTGCATTGTGATTGGCCGAATATCTCAAGCATGTCACGGAAATGTTATGCCCCTTACCATACTGTGATGCCGTGTCCCTGAGCGACGAGATAAAACCCATTTTAAACGAGGCATTTGTTGCATCCAGTGGGAACATAATTACGGATTATAATGACTTATACTGTGTTTTTACGCGTTAACGTAAAACCATGTCTGCATTTGTGATCGGAGAAATGACAAACAACAAGCCCTACTCTACACTGCCCAAA